ATGATATGACGTACATGTAGCGCGTGGTCAAGCGCAACTAGCAGAGCCAAACGGAATAGAAATAGCGCAGTGCTTTTCAACAGTCCCATTATGTCACAGTTGATTATCAATCAAAATAACTGACCACTGCACTGATCAGCCCTACATTACATGACAAACACCCAACACTCATACTTTGATCAGAAACACTCACTGAGTGAAAAATGTAATACCTTGGGAACAAGAAATTTGGGATACATAACATTTTGATGCATAAGTGCATCCCTTTCTGATCTTCTGGATCAATTTTACAAAATTCAGAGAACAATTCCACCACTATACCGGTTTTACATTATACAACTAATAGAATTCTAAGGATAAACACAATAATCTATCTTTCTAATTGCTATGTTAATTGTTAAATAGCAACATTTCGGGGTTGATTCATACTCTGCACTGCAAGGTTACAGTTTCATTTTAATAGAAATTTGAGTAATAATGCCTGTAACAATGTTTTAATAAATCATAGTGTGTTAAAGGATACAAATGGAGTGATGTGCTTTATGGCTACCATCATTGAGTGCATTGAGTTATGTAACCTAAAAGGTGTCCAGTTTTGGATTGGGAATTGAGTGGGGCAGTATCTGTGCAGCCCTAAAACCAAGAGTAGACTTGGTTGTGGGGCTGCACAGATACTTCCCATGTATTATAGAACTATGATCATAATAAACTACTTTTAGGATAAGAGTGAGAAATAGTGAAACAAACTTTTTAGTGAAACAAATTTAAAATAATGCAAGGGTAGGGGTAACAGATAGTTATTATGACTTTAGGAACCTTAACCTTATTCCTAGCCAAACTGTTGTGTACTCCATTTAAATGTCTAACTAGCCTTTAATAATGGTGGGTTGTCTTGGATACTGCATTTCCAACTGTACTTGGTGCCAGTGGCGTAACGAAGGGCCCTGCTGACCCTGCTGTGCAGGGGGGCGCCGTCTTAGGGGGGCGCCAAATTGTCGTTTGAATGTGGGACAATTTCGAAAACTTAACTAAAGTACTAGCAAAACTGCGCGTTTTGCTCTAGATACACACTTTTTTAGAGATTTTACCGGCGTATCCTCTTAAATCGCCTAATTTTTTCAATTTTAGGGAGGGGCACCAAAAGGAGAGGGGGCGCCAACAGGGGGGCGCCTTTTCGGCAGGGGGGCGCCAACAGGCAACGTTACGCCACTGCTTGGTGCACGCCAGGTTTAAAATAAAATTATTTCCCTCACTTGCTTGGATTAGATTGGCCTACTCCAATGTTAAGACTGCGTCGTCACCACTAACCAGTAGATTCATCATACATGAACTGTAGGCACCTAAATTGAATTGATTAGAATAAGTATGTCAAAGATTTCGTTTTCCCTAATAGAAGTTTCGATAGTAAATAAAAGGAAAAATGTGTCAAAATGTATTTAATATACACTCAATTAAATCAAGTGATGCGATTGGCAGAGCACAATCAAATTTTTAGTGTTGCAATTGGCAGAGCACAATATTTTAAATCTTTAACAATCTAATATATAAAAGTTTCAAAACGCATGATCTGCTCCATTATTTAAACTCCATTAAAGGGGCAGGGATGAGATTGTAGGAGACTTCTGATAGATGGATCTCATGTTTGGTGTCCACCTTCTTTCCCCGGTACTTAATTAAAAGAATATCCATTTGAGCATATATATTTTTACAATTGGTCAAAATATGGGTAAAGAGAAACAATAAACATATAATAACATTTATTGGAATGCGAGAATTTGTATTGTGGCAGGTGGTTGATTTAAGTGCTCCAAGAAATAATTTTACTTTACAATAGGCAATGATGAGTGGCAGGATTTTGTAGCTCACTAATAAACATTCATCTTCAAATCTTTCGAAAATGGCATTATCTCATAGAGCAATATATTCTTGGTTTAAAAAGACAACAAAGAAATTTTCAAAAGAAGCCTATAGAAGAAATTCTGCTTGTGTGCTTGTAAGAAATATCAATCATCTATACGATGGGAGTTGGGAAATAAGATTAAAGGCTCATAATGTTAAGTTATAGAAGTTATGATGCATTTGGGACAAGCCATTAGAACTCACTGTACGGCCTCAGCCCTCAAGTAGGAAAAATTGTGTGCTTCGTCATGGAGATGGTATGTGAGAATTCATAGACATGTGATCTACAACAATCAATATGTTACCAATGATTTGAATATCTTTGAAAGTGTCAGATCGAGGATTCAATGAAATCTTATTTGGAGATTTTCACTTTATATCAAAGAATAGGTGATATGATGTTCTATTCTTCATATATGTATTTACAAAAGGTCGTGAGCATACAGTCTCAAGTCTACAAACATCATTTCCCGAAACTTGTGGACGATATCAAATTTAAAGCTGGAAAAATATCAGCCAACAATACAATTTGCTTAAATAGTAAAGAATACGAAAGTTAACATCAAACTAGGCGGTTTGTTTGCTCATAAGTAGTCATTTCTTCTGCATTAGAATTAGCGCTCGATTCATCAGGCTATCTATCTATCTAATTACCAAATAATTAATTGTTTCAAAATTTATATACTGTGGTCGTACGTCGATTTTTTAATTCAAAACATGGAAATGGGTAGCGCATGGTCGCGCGCGCAACAATAAGGTCGCATTTGTGATTTCAATATTTTACATGACGTACGCGTAACGCGCGGACGCAAGCGCGACTAGCAGCGCCAAACGGGATAGAAAATAGCGCGGCTCTATTCAACGTGGTCCCATCGTGGATCACTCAACATTCAACTACCCAATTATGTGACATGTACAATTTAATTGTTTCATGTTGTAGACACGATATTGAAAAACTGATATTGAAAAAATAAAATGACAATAGGGGTGATCACAATTAAATGTGATACATTTATGTGATTGTATTAAAACAAGAAGTATATGAATTTTAATAATAATTGTCATAAACATATGTTCTTTTACATTATTTAACAAGTTATTATTTATTTGTATTAAAAATTTTATTGTAGTGAAAAAAAAAATTTTTAGTGAAACAAATGTATATATTAATTTACACAACTATAGCATAAAATATAATTATAAAAATATACATTTTATAATTGCTTCCATTTTGAACACTGCTAATAACAAATACCTTCCAGCCCATCGATATAAAGTATAAGTCGCCAAAACAAACAACAAAGCTCCAAGTTAATTTATCTTCGTACTTTGTTTTGGAGGCTGTATAGTAGAATGCCAATAAATAATTATTGACAAACGGTGCAGTCTCCGCCTTGCAATTACGAAGTAATTTAAGGCGGAAGTACAGTGGCGTAACGAAAGGCCCTGCTGACCCCGCTGTGCAGGGGGGCGCCGTCTTAGGGGGGCGCCAAATCGTCGTTTGAATGTGGGACAATTTCGAAAACTTAACTAAAGTACTAGCAAAACTGCGCGTTTTGCTCTAGATACACACTTTTTTAAAGATTTTACCGGCGTATTCTTTAAAATCACCTAATTTGTTTAATTTTAGGGAGGGGCACCAAAAGGGGAGGGGGCGCCAACAGGGGGGCGCTTTTTTCGGCAGGGGGGCGCCAACAGGCAACGTTACGCCACTGCGGAAGTATGCGCCGTTAATACAACCCACAGTACAAGACATTATGAGCTCCAAGACTTCAATAATCCTGAGTTTAACGTATTGACTCACCATCGTCAGCCGTCAGTAATTTATATGTTAGAGTTTAGATATAACACATGATAATCAATTTTTAACTGTTTTCATGGTCTTGCAGCCAAACAAAACGGTTTTACAAAATCCCTAATCCCAACCTTAACTCTAACGTTAACCATAACCCAAAGCTAGTTATTAGAGAAAAGGTTGTAATGATAGCTATTTAGAAAGCTTTGATAAGACCTCATTTTGAGTATTGTGTCCAATTGTCGAATCCAGTTGAGGCTCATGGAAGTTGGGGGACTGTTTTGGAGCTCAAGAGCGTCCAGAGGTGGTTTACCCGTCTTGTTGATGAGGTGGGTACTCTTCCTTACAGCCGTATACTGGATATCCTCAATTTGACAACGCTGGCAGAGCGGCGAATACGTGGGGACCTTATTGAAGGTTTTAAAGTAACTATTTTAAAGTAACTAGTGGTTTGACTGAATATGGATCGGGTTTGTTCAGAGTGAGCAGATCTGGTCTTAATCTAGTTTCAACCAATAGATGTAGTAAGAGTGTAACTAAAGTCAGGAATCTTCAGTCTTCTTTTCTTCCGGAGCGAGTCATTCCTTATTGGAACAAACTCCCTTCAGATGTCAAGAACTGCTCGACAGTTTTAAGCTTTAAAGTTAGATTGGAAGGATTTAAGAAAGAAATGATTTCTAAAAACAGTGTAAATGATTTTTATTTTTGGACTGTTTCGAATGAAGTTTTAGGGAAAATTGAAGGACCCAGTTATTTAAGCAATAAGGAGAGACATAATGAATATCTTTGGCTTCATCCTTTTGTGGCACAGAAGCGTTTTATAAATCTCTATTCCACTGGGAAGTATTAATGAATTATTTATAGATAATGTATTAGATTTCATTAATTAATAAAATTGAATTTGTTAAATTATTAATGTTGATGGAAAAGTATATTTATTTAAATTATTTTTCTATTTAGTGCAATGATATTTTGTAGACACTTGTGATGATGTTATGTCATAATCTTTACTTACTTACTTACTTACATATCTTATTACACCACAAAATAAACTTTAACACAACTCCAGGAATAAATATAACTGTCTCTTGACACCACTTTAGGGTTAGACAGGTTCTTGCTAGTTTTTGTAACTCCTTCATAATCGATCCAGTGATGCATATTTTGTATGAGTTGAAATTATGGCTTATTAATGACACCATTTAATCTAAATGCTAGAGCCTGGCTTTATGCCAAATGAAAAGGCTATCACGCATCCCATCGATTTGTTCTCAATTAAAAGCACCCAATTTGCGATTCTTATCTGATTGTTGCATGTTATAAATTTGACTTGAATATGCTACTTTGCACGTGCAAATAGCATTTTAAGCTATATGATTAAATTTTGCCTCAATGAGCTATACTAATGATGGGCTATATGATAATAAATATTGTGTTGTTATTTATAAATTTGATAACAAACACAATATCAGGCAATGTCTGATAGTCAGTCTGACGATGCTGCCGGGGAGTTGGGAGATATTGCAGGAGAGGGATCAAAGATATCAGTTTCAACAGAAAATGACACTGAGATGGACATAGAAGAGATGGATTCGATTGCAGATTATGAAGCACCTATGCCTGAAGAAGTTGCTGCGAAACCAGCTCTTGTTCCTAATAGTCCAAAGAAAGAACCAAGCGCAGACTCTAAAAAAGAAGGAAGTGCTCCAAAGCAGGATGCATCAGCTTCAAAAAAGGATTCTGTTCCTGCTGAGAAAACTCCAGCTCCGTCTAAAGACACTGCTTCAGCTCCCGAGCCATCCAAGCCAACACCTTCACTCGATGATGGATCAAAAACAAAAAACCTTCCTAATGACTCTAAACCTGAAACAGTCGAAACAGCAAAGCCTACACCAGAAACTGCAGCAGCAGAATCCCCAATTGTACCTGAGCAAAAACCAGAATCCATAAAAGAAGAAACTAAATCGGAGAAACACAGTGAAAACTTATCCAAGAAAAGTGACAGATCAAGCCACCATGATAGCAATGAGAACAAGAGCAGAAGCAAAAGCAGGCATTCAAGTAAAAACACTCCAAAGGAAGATCGTACCAAAGAAGATGACAGGTCAGGAGAAAAAACTCCAACACCTGTTTCACAGTCCAGAAGTCACAGAGAATCACCGAGAAGCAGCAGGAGCCATTTCAAGTCATCACGTACGTCTTCTGAGAGGAAGTCTCAAACACCAAGCACAAGAACGAGATCTGTTCCTGAGGAGCGCTCCCAGTCAAAATCCTCCTTTGATGAGTACCACCAGAGTTCCACTAAAGCATCCGGTCACCGACAAAGCAGGGATCCTCAAAAGGAACGCAGTTCTACCTACACAACATGTGCCCGTGCTGAGACAACACCTTCACAACCACATCTTTTCGGGGATACGGAGGAGATGTCCATTGTAGTGGACACAAACGAACTTGTGTCCATTTCCGTTAGTTCTGGTTTACAATCACTGCGTGATATGTTCTTTGATGAGAACGATTCTCACAAAGGATATCTTGTTGCCCAAGAAGGCCATCTGGAAGCAACATATTGCTCTCACAGACATGGAGAAGAAGGAGAGCAACCCTCGAGAATATCCCATCCCTCTTTCAACAGTCATCTTGAGCCATCCCCGATTTTGTTGCCAGATATTGATCAGAGAACTTATATAAAGAAGGGAGGAACAAGCTACACTTCTATCAGTGAATCTACTGATTGCATGATTACTCCAGGTTTGTCTCATGTAATTGACTTATTGTCTGCTCAACTTAACATTGAACTGAATTAATGATAGACGTCGACGTTTTTTAATCAACATAATTATTTTATCTAACATGTAACCTGTTTTCCCAAACCCTCAATTTCATTTAGCAAACAGATACCACTAACTAGGCCGACCAGCTAAGTCTAAGTTGAACCAATTACCCTTTCTAATTGTAATCTTTACCAGCGGACCCACCAGTAGAAGCCGGCAAGCTCTCACCGATAGAAACGTACAGTATTCCTGAATCAGAGTCTACAGACGATGACATCACACCACGTGACAGGCCCCTTCCCAACAAGGACAAGAAAGTTGATTTCGCTGCGGGAAGTGATGTAATCTCACTGACTCTTGATGAGCGTTACTCTGATGTGGAAGGAGAACTTTCTGAAGCTCCCAGTAAGAATTTCATACAATTTGCGTCTGAAATCTTGGCATGAATAATTTTTTATCTTGAGATTTAGTAATGTTTATCAAGTAATTAGTTGTAATCACCACCAATAAGTTAAATAATTTGTATTACTTTTTATTACATTTTATTACAGATCCAAAAGAACACGATGTAGACGAGATGAGTGCTTGCAAGTGAGGACATCATCAAAGCAATAGACAGGAAATACTTGTCATTCACCCCTAACACCCTTCTCTGTGACATCAGCAACATTATACCAAACCATCAGAATCTTGTTAAAGTTGACGGGAAGCACATCTTGAACAAAGAAGTGGGTTTTTATTCCTTTTTAAAATTTTTAAAGATGCAATCTGCCAGAACGCAATGGTTCCCTACAAAGTGTTATCAAGAGTTTTTGTCTGATAAAAGTAGTTGCTTTGTTTGTGGGTGATGATTGACCAATCACCACGTAATGCAATTAATTGGATGCAAAGAGCAGATTAAATTGCTGATATCATTCAAATTCCTTTTAAACATATCAGATAATGTTCACATATTGATTAAATTCCTTCCGTAACTAATATATCACAGGTTTGTCTGGAGTTCATGTGTTGGCTGGAGAATCTTAACGACTTGTACATGTCTGTTGAGTACGGGAAAGCTCTCAACATCTTCAGACGTCAGGAGTCTCGCTTTAAACTTGTCCTTTATGAGTGTTTGAAGGTAAGATTTCACATATTTCAACAGTAAATGAGCTTTAAACTTGTCCTTTATGAGTGTTTGAAGGTAAGATTTCAGATATTTCAACAGTTAATGAGCTTTAAACTTGTCCTTTATGAGTGTTTGAAGGTAAGATTTCAGATATTTCAACAGTAAATGAGCTTTAAACTTGTCCTTTATGAGTGTTTGAAGGTAAGATTCCAGATATTTCAACAGTAAATGAGCTTTAAACTTGTCCTTTATGAGTGTTTGAAGGTAAGATTTCACATATTTCAACAGTAAATGAGCTTTAAACTTGTCCTTTATGAGTGTTTGAAGGTAAGATTTCAGATATTTCAACAGTTAATGAGCTTTAAACTTGTCCTTTATGAGTGTTTGAAGGTAAGATTTCAGATATTTCAACAGTAAATGAGCTTTAAACTTGTCCTTTATGAGTGTTTGAAGGTAAGATTTCAGATATTTCAACAGTAAATGAGTTTATTGGTTGGCAGGATACATAGATTTTCTACCATTTTTTGGGCCAAACTTTAATTCTAGAATAAGTTTCTGGTCCAACTTATAGTCCATTACACGAGACTTTTCATCGACCAACATTTTCTTGTCTAGTATTCTTCGATTTTTCGCGGTCAATCAGTTAATTAATATGCTGCAATTTTCTTTCCCAACTGATATAATAACCACTGAAGGTTGCACAAGGCAGCGGACTAGAGATAGGATTTGAAAGAGTTGCAGCTATGGCTCACATCTCATTTGATGTTATTTACTCAATGTTACCGTACTGTGATGCTATCAAGTGGTACAGTCAGATGGTTGCGGGTTAGTTTATAGTTGTTAGTTTATAGTTGTTAGTTTATAGTTGTTAGTTTGTAGTTGTTAGTTTGTATTTGTTAGTTTGTAGTTGTTAGTTTGTAGTTGTTAGTTTATAGTGGTTAGTTTGTATTTGTTAGTTTGTAGTTGTTAGTTTGTAGTTGTTAGTTTGTAGTTGTTAGTTTATAGTGGTTAGTTTGTATTTGTTAGTTTGTAGTTGTTAGTTTATAGTGGTTAGTTTATAGTTGTAGTTGTTTATAGTTGTTAGTTTGTATTTGTTAGTTTGTAGTTGTTAGTTTATAGTTGTTAGTTTGTATTTGTTAGTTTGTAGTTGTTAGTTTGTAGTTGTTAGTTTATAGTGGTTAGTTTGTATTTGTTAGTTTGTAGTTGTTAGTTTGTAGTTGTTAGTTTATAGTGGTTAGTTTATAGTTGTAGTTGTTTATAGTTGTTAGTTTATAGTTGTTACTTTATAGTTGTTAGTATACCTGTAAGAATTGCATAATTTTATTTGAAATTGAAAGTTTTCCGCCATCTCGACAAATTTCCAATATGACGGTTTAGGAAAACACCACCTTTTCACAATTAATTTGTTATCTTTAGTGAACACTCATATAAAATAAGCAAATATTACCCTCTCCCAGGAGCAAGGCGTGCTGAAAATAAGTTAGCTGAAGCTTACATGCTCCTCTGTATGGGACAACTCATGATATATGGTGGGGACTCCTTTGAAGCTCAGAGGTAACAAACCGTATTTCGACTTTTTTTATTTGTTGGACAATTACCATGAAATTGAGGTAGCATTAGTAATGATTTGGTAAGATTCCAACTTCCTAAGTGTTTCCATGACATTGTAGAAGCAATGAGTTTGAAGCCATATTTGGTTGAATTTATGTGTTTTATCGTTAATGATAATCTGAGCGTGGGATTACTCGCAATGACGCACTTTCTTTATTCTTCTAAATCATATTACCGACCATATTTAGTCAAAAAGCAAATTAATACAACTATTTACTAGTTTTCCTGTTTAATATTAAGTGCAAGTAGCTACAGTTTCTTTAATTCCATTTCCTCAAATCGTCTCACTAGTTTAATCGTTTGGCCTCTCAAAAATAACGTCTTTGCCATTGAGAAAGCACCTATGTCTATAATGTCGTTACAATCAGGGAGCTAAAGAATGCACTTATGATGTTTTTACCTTCAGGCATCTCAAGAATGCGCTGGTTATCGTGAAACAAGACTTTATTGCGGAACAAGATCTTTACAATTGTATCAAACATCTGTTTGGGTTCAGTGTTGCTTTGTGTGATACTAACAAGATCAGTGAGAGAGAAAGTAAGTAAATAAGTTATTTAAAAGTAATTAATTTAAAAGTAAGTTATTAACTAACGGAAGTTGTTTAAAAGAAAGTTATTTGCTAAAATGAATTATGATTTTTAGTAAGTTTTCTATAAATGTAATTTATGTGTTTAACAATACGTGTTTTTAACAATATTTTGCAAGAAATAATGTATATTTCAAATACCTCAGTAGATTTCGCTATTAAAAAGAAACACGTTCGCACAGTGGTGTCAAAGTGCACAGTGGTTTCAAAGTGCACAGTGGTTTCAAAGTGCACAGTGGTTTCACTGCTATCGAAGAAAGGCATTTAGACCATATATTGTTAAAGATAGCCCATTAATGGGAGAGAATTCAGAGCATTTAAAGACATTCTGAATATTTTAAACCTGGCATCTTCTCTCAATGTCGTAACCACAGCCTTCATTTCACTCTCAGCAACATCACAGATCTAACCAATCACAACCGTCCATCCTGTGGAATTTATCTCGACAAATTCCAACACTTGTAACAATTGTATAATTATATATGATATATTTATGAAGGAGCACAATTGACACACTTCCCACCTTCAGATTGGTCCTCAACACCAGTTCATGTTTTCAACAACACGTGACCAACACGTGACCAACACCAGCTCATGTTTTCAACAACACGTGACCAACACCATGACCAGTTCATGTTTTCAACAACACGTACAAGCACACTTCATGTTAACATGTACAATCCTGACATTGTCACTGTTCACTAATATAGCGAGATCAGGGGAGAAAACAACACATGTTTTGACATGAATTATGTAATGGAGAATTAGTAAAGTATATATAAATATAAGCAAGAAGTAAGTGAGTATATATGTTTAGAAGTAAGAATTAGTATATGTCTTGGATATTGCTTGAGTTTCACATGTGAGTCAGTGCAGTCGTGAACATGTTGCATAGCGGACATCACGTCATACAGGATTGGTTTCTTGTTTTGATTTTTTCTGTCATTTATAGTTGTGGATGACGTGTTAGAGTAGATTCAATTCAGGGACGTAGCCAGGATTTTTCTTTGAGGGGGGCTGTCGGCGAGCGAAGCGAGCCGACGCGTCCAATCAAGCTGCACAGCGAGCGAAGCGAGCAAGCTGTGGCAGGGGTCTGGGGGCGCAGCCCCCAGCGGGGTCCAGGGGCGGAGCCCCTTGGCGGGGGCTAGGGGGGCGCAGCCCCCCGGAAATTTTTTGCGAAACAGGGTGTTTTAGACGACATTTGGCATTAAAAAAATTTGTAGGACAGCAATGAACTGGGATTGAAAAGAATCAAGTACTCACGTAAATTTGGTAACTTCACAACAGCAATCTGCATTCTCCAATCAGAATTTACGACTTACTCAGGCCTCATCGTCTTAAGATTTTTACATTTCCTACGGTCTAGGGGACACTATTGACTATAATTATAGAAGTCTTCTAGAATGTTTGCTTGGATTTAATGACATATATTTACTAATCCACAGTTCAAATCTTTGACTGACTGCAGTCATAAACACAGCCCAGTTACCAGGCGACCATGGGGACTAGGGGGCTTATCTTTTTTCTGGGGTTCGATTTTTTCCGGGGGGGCTGCCGCCCCCCTAGCCCCCCCCCCCCCCCCCCTGGCTACGTGCCTGATTCAATTTACAAGTTTATTTTAAGATAAATATTTTTGACATGTGTAGGACTTTGTATATATTATGAGGTAAAACCCAGATTTACCGCGGAGTTTGGGGGAAGGAAATTACCGCGGCAAATCGGGATTTACAATGATTCGGGGTTTTGGTTGTCCACATTATGTATGTTAAAGCCCATTTGAGGGGATGAAATACCCGCAGTTAATCGGGGTTTTACTGTAATATGTACGTAATAATACCGTGATTTCGTCCGATAAATAATAATGTTATGAACAACAAGCTCTCGCCGTAAGGGCCTCAGTTTCTACTGGATAGCTTCCCTGAGCTAAAGTCTACAGTCTAGTCTACACTCTACACTCTACACTCTACACTCTAAACTCTAAACTCTACACTATACACTCTAAACTCTACACTCTAAACTCTAAACTCTAAACTCTAAACTCTAAACTCTAAACTCTCCCCACACTGATCCTATATTCACTGCCCAGTCTACGTCTCATACCATGGCTTAGCCATTGGCTCACTGTACTTACTTACTTGATCTCAGTGGCTTTGGTCCTCCAAAAACCCGGATGATTTGTACGATGTTGACCAACAATTACAGAAGTATATTATACTAGTGCAGTCTGCAAAATATACAGTTTCCGTACTACAAAGTCTACATTCTTACTTCACAGTCTACATTCCTACTCTACGTACCCCGGTTTTCAAGTAATAGCAGTGTGGTTACAATGGAGAAGTTACAGGAGCAAACGAATCTTTGAAGCTTAACCTCCATTAAATTAACAAAATGTACACAATATATCCTGCTCCTCGGACTTCACTCACACTGAACATTCTGAACATTCTGTTTAAATACAACAATACTGAATCATTTCCTGTGCATTCATTCGGTATTCGGTTCAGTCTAAGTTACACACTGCAGCACAGATTACACACTACACAGGTCACAGACCCAATAGAGCAATAGAGATTACACACCACACAGACTCAGTTACAGTGATCTTGTCCTAAGTAGGGGTGATTCAGTGGTTTAGTGGGTTAGAGGTCAGTGACTGGCAACCTCAATAAGTATAAGTATTTACGTACCTACCTATAGTATTATCTTATATAACTATATATTAACTATTTCCTTACCAATCTTATAAATTTGTAGTATATTATAAACTTTAACTATTTCCTCAATAATTATCTAAATTGGCAGAAAGCCAAGACCCGAAATTAACTAATATTCTCCCTTGCTCCCAGACGGGTTTAAGTATTATCTACCTATACTCTATAGTATTATCGTATCTATTTCCCCGTATCTAACTACTATTGTTTAGTTAGCTACTTAGTTAGCTAATTAACTAATTACCTCCCTTACCCCCAGGTGGACTGATAAAGATGACAGAAGCCCTGGTGATGACCCGGAACTTATACGGAACTAACTCTTTGGAGACAGCACTGGGTAGACTACACATTGGGATAGCGTACAGGAGTCTGTACGAAGACACTGCTCTCAGTAAGATGATTATATTCGTGTCAGGAAAATCTGATTAAATTCTAGAATGTTCTTCACTGTTTGGAGAGATTTTTCAGAAGAACTTTTGACTAAACTATTCCAAATTGCCAGTCCTAAAATCAACAAATTCATGTGTCGCCTCCTACAGCATTTAACTGTAAAACTTTGTGTTATTTATCAGTTATATTATTTATTTATCAGTTATATTATTTATTTATCAGTTATATTATTTATTTATCAGTTATATAAACTATAAACATCTCTCGCAGGGTTGGAAGGTTTGGACTACGTGGAGCGAGCACACGAAGTATTGGAGGATCAGCTAGGTCACCACCCCTACATGGGCATCTGTGTGCAGACACTGGCACAGTACCATGATGACATGCTCAGCATCAACTTTAGTTCTGAGTATAACCAGGTAATTAATGAGGGGTAATTAATGAGGGGTATTTAATGAGGGGTAATTAATGAGGGGTAATTTATGAGGGGTATTTAATGAGGGGCCTTTAATGAGGGGTAATTAATGAGGGGTAATTAATGAGGGGTAATTTATGAGGGGTATTTAATGAGGGGCAATTAATGAGGGGTAATTAATGAGGGGTAATTAATGAGGGGTAATTTATGAGGGGTAATTAATGAGGGGTAATCAATGAGGGGTAATTAATGAGGGGTAATTAATGAGGGGTAATTAATGAGGGTATTGAGGGATAATGAGGGTTTGCTAGTTTTATACTTTCTGTAAAGTGAATTATTAGTTTGTTGATTGATTATTTTCGTTATGACATGAAACTTTAACTTTAGTTTCGTGGAGTTTTTAATATATACTCTGCTATCATTTCATGTTATTGATGTTTAATGATTTTCATCTCACCATGATTAATGAACCACTAAATTCAAATTATCATCGTTTGCAACAAATTAGAAATTAAACTAATTTTTAAAGAACGTTTAATAACATAGATGGCCAAGAATTCCAAATTTAGAGACCAGGAATCAGCATACTAAAATTACTCCACCATAATAGTGTCACATATTATTATAAAACAGCTGCCAGCAATCCATCGGAAATAATTCCAGAAAAAATCCCAGAAATAATTCCAAACTCTCTTATCCCAAAATTTATCAGTTTTAACACGTCACGCTAAATTCGTGATCCCCAATCACTCTAAAACGTTTCTTTACCAAAATATTCACTGTAAATCAGAGAATTTCATGGTCCTGAAAATGACTGCTTGTCAGCTTGTGCAATGCGCCAGTATACCCGATTAATGAGTTAACCGGTACCAGTTGTCCAGGTGACCCAGGATACTGCCCACGTGACACGTGACACATCTGAGAGAGATTTGTATTGACGTCACAGCCTGGTGGTCCTCAACCTGTGACGTCAGAGCAAATTTTAATTGCAGACAATCAAAACTTGCTTATTTGAACCTGAACACGTCCTAGCATGATTAAAACACCTTCAGCTGCAATCGCATTGTGTATGGTCCCGCGGAAATATGAAGAAATTAAAAGTTTCCCATCCTATTTTTGAAACTCATCCCAAATCTTAAATCCTAACCTTCCCCTGCAAAAACTCCCCACAAAATCCCCAACTCTTTACTCAATCTTTACAGCCACTAATTTCTGATTAAGCCGGCCGGGTTTCTCAGAATAGTTATGTTTGGTGATTTGTGACGTCAATCCTTCCTCCTCCTCCTCCTTCTTCTTCTCCTGCTGGTTTAGTCTGTGTTGTATTCGCCCTAGGATTGTTGCTCTATCTGACTTTTCGTAGAGAACCAGATCCGAGTCGCTGGAGAGGTCTCTGAAAGTTTAGTTTTTTTTTGTGGGGTTTTTGATAAAGTGATACGGTTTTAATTTTAATACGGTTCAAATCTTGATCCGGTTTTAAACGTTAATGTTTCTCCCAGATTAGGTTGCTCTTTTGCAGCGGAGGGATGTCAGAAGTTAATATTACTGCTCATGCAGCCGTTATTTTATGATAGTTCTAATGGACGTGCATACTGTTAGGAGTTGAACCATGTAATTTTTGATATGTGACAGTGCGATTAAACCGATCAGCTTCCAACATTGACCAGTCAAAAGCTAAAGTACTGTCACGAGTTAAAATCGCTTCAGACGATACGTGTCAGACACCTGTTCAACATCTTTAAAACTGATACTTTCCGGGGAAATAGTCCTAAATTATTTAATAAATGTAAATTTATCTTATTATAGTTATAAACTATCTACTGTAGTACTTATACATTAAATAATACGCTAACTTTGTGAAATAGTGTTGGGTGTTTAAACTTACGCATTCGAACAATGCTCTTGGAAAAGCAACTTTTGCTTTTGCTCTCCTCTGAATAACTTCATGAGTAGTGCTTTTCCTCCACACATGGATACGACAGAGTTCTGGATCTGACTTTTTAAACAATGTCAACTCAAAAGCAAATAAAGAAATGAAGATTAAAGAACCAACACGTTTCGTTTCTTGATCACTGCCAGAGTTTGGCAGTGGATGATAGTCATGATGTTATATTTACAAACATGAAGTAGAAACATTTAATTTTAAAGGAGCACGGTTACAAGCCACTTTTTCTCGTCACTTCCATCCAGCATATCTTCACAACTACGGACTTTATTTTTGGCGGACATTAGGCGGACATTTCACATTAGGTTGACATTTGGTGGACGGACATGATTTTGGGCGGTCATAAAGCATGTCTTCAAAACTAAATCAGTCAGACTTTGAACCTTACAATTTGAGTTCAGTACTTTAATGAGAATCATCAAATTTAACGGTTTAACCTCCCAATTATGCCCCCTTATCTGAGTAACTTCCTCAAATTTTATAATAATATTCAGCTGAATAAGTGAAGACAATCCTGCGTCAGTAGAATATTGTTACTCCATCTTTCCACAATCTATTTTAAATTTCTATCACTGCAACCTTGCCCTTCAATCTTACATCAATTTCACCTTATAACACCTTAATTTTCCCTCAATCACGCTTTTATTTAACCTCAATCTTAACTTTATTTAACCTCAATCACACCTCAATTCTACCGCAAATTGACCTTAAATTAACCTCAATACCTCTCACCAGGCATTGAAATGTTACCAGCTAGCGACGGAGATTCACAGATCAGCAATGGGAGGTCACTGTTTTACTGCTCGTGCAGTCACTCAGGTTAGTGTTATTTTAGTTGCGTTATTCTAAAGTACATTCGATGTTTTTCACTTTCTTTTTTTTTAATGCGTTATTTGTAAATATTTTCAACAAAAATCTGTTAAAACAATTTATTGTCCATTTTTGAACGCTGCTCAAAGACTGACAGGCGCTAGCATCATCTAAAATTAATGTGATTCATTTTATAGTGCAGTGGCGTCCTATAATTTTATATTCCGACTTTAAATTAAGTTATTTGAGTATATGATACCTATGTATTGAACAGAAACTCATTCATTTTTGAGCTTCACTCAAAGACCGGCCAGCGCAAGAAGCATCATTTAAAATTCCTCCCGTTCTTGGCTTCATCTCACTGAAAGACTTATTCTCATATAGCAAGCAATATATCCACCTCAAAAAATACACTGTATCATTATAACACTATATCTCTTAAAACATAATTTCTGAGAATAATATCTTGAGTTTCCTAATGTTTCACAAATTCTATCCTAGGTTTCTTAAATTTCCCCATAATACCCTAGGCTCAGTTTCGAACAGCGAGTTTCTTATCTTCAATAAAACTAAATGTATAGCATGCACTTTAATAGCTACACCTCAAAATACACTATATCTCTTAAAAAGAGATTAGAGAATACATCTCGGTAATTGTACTCCTCTTCACTCAATTGCTTTGACAAGCAGGAGATATCTAAATCGTGCTGGTGTACATTAGAGCATTTTAATACTTTCTACTATACAACAAATAATTTGAGATCAAAAATACGATGCTGTTACATTGAAACGTAGAACATTTCCTTTCCTGATAAGATCCTTTTCCTTGTCGCAATAAACGGGATCAATACAAATTTTGCCCCAGAAACAATACATTAGACCATTATCATTTGATTTAGCCAGTAAGCCAGTAAGCCAGTAAGCCAGTAAGCCAGTAAGCTAGTAAGCCAGTAAGCACGAGAATTGTAGGGATACTACTCTGTTGTTGCTAAAAATAGACCAAATTAATGAGGTTTTGTAATGAGGTAATCGGTAGTCTAGACTCACTGTTAATTGGCGTAGAGATTGTTCTGTGGAAATGAGTGCAGACAGGGGTGAGGGGCGTGTTCAAACTTTCAAACACTGACACTTTATAGCTATAATATACTGCGTTTTATATTCATTTTAAACCGACATTTGGACGCTCGTGCATGCAGGCTCTCTCCCTCCCTCACTCTCTCTCTCTCTATGTCTCTTAAATAGTGAGAGACGGTTACAGGTCACATGTTATTTTCCCACACAGAGAGAGAGAGAGAGAGAGAGAGAGAGAGAGAGAGAGAGAGAGAGAGAGAGAGAGAGAGAGAGAGAGAGAGAGAGAGAGAGAGAGAGAGAGAGAGAGAGAGAGAGAGAGAGAGAGAGAGAGAGAGAGAGAGAGAGAGAGAGAGAGAGAGAGAGAGAGAGAGAGAGAGAGAGAGAGAGAGAGAGAGAGAGAGAGAGAGAAAGGAATACCACAGAGTAAGCCTCGTGCAAGGCGCTGGCTTTGGACCAATACTGTGATAGTTAAATATCCTCACTCCAGTGGTACTGTATCCCTCCCCGGCTTGTACGGGCTATATACTCTCTATCTCCCCATCTCTCTCTTGCTTCTCATTAGGCTGTCACCTGATCAGAAATTAACCAATTGCCGCGGAAGCGCCGGGAAATGAACCAACTATTGAGCGAAATTAAGAGCTGTAGTTAAGCTTTTATAGGCGGTTTAAGTTAGGTCGTTGCTAAGTAACCGTCGGTCACGTGGGGTAGCAGCGCGGCTTTTGATTGGCTGGAAAGTTGGGTTGTTGTAGAATATCGCCAAATATTAGAAATAGAGTAAACGTTAAGTTCTGCGTCTGCTTACTGTTATAGAGATAAGAGGTTAGGTAGAGTCTAACGTTGGAAGAGAAAAGTAAGATTTGTGATATTATGTATCAGGTGAAGTTACGGTGATGATGTTAGTGGGTACAAAGTTTGTGGTTATAGGTTTAGTTTATTACTACTTTACTACTAGTTGTTAAAGAGTTAATGGTTATTATTATAGAGTTATATTCTCAACTATTCGCATTAACCAAGTAAGTGTTGTAATTTGCTATGTGACGTAGTTTCAAGACTCGATTTCAAGACTCGACCTGCAAACTTACTCTGCAGAAATTTAGCCAAGCTGAGAGACATAAACCTTACCTGCGTCACAAAATGGGTGAACAAACCCGGAAATCGTTTTAGTTGTAAATTAAAGTGTCATGATATTATATTGAATCTCGATTTTATAACAAAACACTTTTAAACTATTATGTGCTACCAGTACCACCTACACTCTAGCTGGTGCTACCAGTAGTACAAACTGCAACTTAAAATGGTGCTACCAGTACCAGGGTGTGCTCTTTGGTTAAGGCTAGGTGTGGTAGATCAGACTTATAATAGGTTTTGTACATAATATTTGTTATATGGTTTGATGGGAGAAGTTTTGTAAAATATACTCATAAATAATGAGTATTTTTTACTGTCATAATGATGTTGGTCTTTAGGGTCATAGATTTATCTTGAACAATAGCTCAAATAATTTGCTAACATAATTCAATTTAATAAATTACTAAACAGTGGCTGTTCTTCATGTAAATTTATGAGATTTTAGCCTTTAGTTAAAAGACTCACATTGAACTTTCGGAGAAAATAACATTGCAACGGAGTTGGAATGTACGATATTTATAACTGTCTTACTCCCCACGTGACCTTCTTGTGACATTGTCACAAGAGAATGAGGCACAATGTCACATTGTGCCTCATTCTCTTTTTCCCTGGTAATGCTGGTAACATCCTCCAACAACTATGTCCAGTTGGAATTGTCCACTAAACAACATGGTATTTCTTCAAGTGAAACATTACTCTTTTTTCCTTGACCAATTAAAGAAAAATCTAATATTTCACTTTCACTTTCACTGCCACAAATCATCATGTCTAATCAGACTCCGTGCTGAACGAATTACAGTACATTTTCGTCCTGTAAATACAGCTGTGAATTCAGCTAATATACCTTAATAAACTTTATAAAGTTATAATACAAGTTATAAATAACTTTTATTAAGCAACTTCCTCTCCGTTGTATAAAATAAAACAACAAAATTCCAGTTACTTTAAAAACCTTAAAACGTACGTCAAACGCATGTTCTTGATTTGTCTAATAATTAATAATTGTGCAGTTAGATTATAGAGTTATAATACCCTCAACTTACGTGCAGGTTAGGGGGCTATTTGTCAAGTGCTGATACCACGTGATACCACGTGATACAACGTGATACAACGTGATACCACGTGCTGACACTAAAACAATTTAAACCACGAAATTCCAGCTACTTTGACTGACAGGCTACAAACCAGTCTATTTATATCAGGGTTTTAGCAGCGTGCCAGGATTACTAGTGCCAAGCTGGCAACTGTGCAAAATATTTTTCAAAATACCAATATTGATTTTCTGTCAGTCGTTCAGCAACCCCTCCATCTATGCGTATGAACCAAATTTGTCCAATTTTAAGGAGGGCGCCAAAAGGAGAGGGGGCGCTTTTAACAGGCAACGTTACGCCACTACTGTCCTGAAATCAGTCAGGAACGAAATTTTTAATTCGATCTAAATGCAAGCTCTGAGGCTATTTATAGAATTTTGCTCTAACCCCAATTTTTCAATCCGCCAACAATTTAATTATGGCAAATCAATTTTTGCTTCACCAAAACCTGTAATCTATGCCACAAGATTTCATCATTTGTTTACGTATTCTTGAAAACCATATTATAATGTACAAGCGGACTATTTGGATGAGATGTTATCAAGTTCGCAGTCCAAACAGTAAAATATAAGCAGAGATTGCTGTTGAGTAATATTCGTTTTGTTCTTGGTAAATTTAAAGTCGATACAGTTCTGATTGATGTTCCATCTATTTATTGATGACGTCACAAACTGTATAGTTGCGAGAGTATGCGGTCAAATCAAAATAGCTTTATAGACCGCTCTTCCAACAGCTATTATCAAATAATAAATAAGCATAAGCTTGAGGTCTCCCAATTTGCACTCGAGACACATAACATTCTGTGGCGCGCGATGATGTTTTAATGAACAAAAGTCCTTAAAAAGCATTCAGGTTAACGGTCGCGCGCAGCCGCGCGCGCAGCTACCATACATGACAGCATGCACACGTTCAATGTATGCATTGTCCAAGAAAAGGACAATTCATGTGCAGTGCTTGAGAGCCGATGAACGATTTGAAGTCAAATGATAGCAAACTATTGATATCATAAGCACTTGCTCAGTGGTTTAAACATTTCAGATGGGAGATTTCTATCACAGAATGGCAGACTACAAAAAAGCTGGGGATTGTTTGACTGATGCGTATGAGATGGCCATTACTTTCTGTCCGACTGACTTGGTTTCAGCTCTGGCTTCTTTCCATTTGGGTAATTATTGTTATCATCATAATCCTCTTTGTGAATACATGATTACTAGACTTTATTATTCGCATATTATTACATGGACCAAACAGTAAAAGTTGTCTCATTTGTACGATCACACAATCAGTGATCACAATCCTGATCACAAACGATAAAATTTGTTGCTGCATGTACATTAGATAGGCTTAATAACCTTCCGTAAACTAAACATTTCTTTGGGTATTTGAATTTTACCCTATTACTGCCGGCTGCCTGAATTGGCGGAGTATTATAACTAATTTTCTCTCCTCTCGGTGATACTGATTATGCTGAATACAGTAAAACATTGTATTCAGTATCAGTAACTGGGGATAAAATTAATTATAATTCCCAATACTCTCCGTCAATTTCTTTCCTTTCTCCGAACTAAATAGGGGATTTACTTTCAGGGCTTCTTTATATGGATGACGCGTATCCAGAGCATGATATCTTCAGAGGACAAAACCTTTTGACTAGTGCTGCTAATCTGCTGAGCAAGTAGGCTATTATGCTTCACTGATAATTATACGTTTTCTTTATATTATTATGTAGAACTTAACATCAATATTAGCAACAAATCTATTACAATTTCTGTTTTTGTTTTTAAAATAATTGTCTTATTGTATAATTTTTTTAAAATGTTTTATAATTGTTTTATAATTGTTTTATAATTGTCTCATAATTTTTGTATAATTTCAAACTAAAAGCTCTTCCCCACTAGGTACGGAGTAACCTACCAAAGAGCCACAATGCTACAACACATGGGGATAGCAAGCGAGAGGCCGGACTAAAACACACTTTCTATCGTCAGGAGAGTGATAATTTGAAGAGCGTCATGTTTGGTGTACAGAGAAATACTAACACGGCTAAGAGGGTCCCTGGGCGTTAGAATTAACGCGTTAGATATCACGTGTGAGGAGTAACGCGTTAATTATCACGCGTGACAAACTGTGAATCTAATCACCCATCGGGTGTGGGGTTATAATGACCCAAATATTGAACGTAAATTCAAAGATATAAAGTTCAAAGTGGATTAAAGTGACCCAATTATTGGACATTAACTCAAGTGTAGCTGTACTGGAACAATGAATTTGAGAACTTGTTGATAATATGCGAAAGTACGGAACTTGACGGTATTTGGTGGTGGAGCAAGGAGCTTGTTTTTGCGAGGGCCTGGCAAGATAGTGGTAAATGATGTGGTTTGTGTTGGGTTTAATAGTAAACTGGTTGAGGCACCAACACACGATCTGTGTCACTGCTCAAATTCACAGTGATAAATTTATGAATTTTTATTGTGTATCATCGCATTGCTAGAACATGTAGAAGATGTCGTGATCTAACGACTAACATTGACTGATGACAACACATTCTAGGTGTAAACTTGATTCTCTTTGCTGCACAAGTTTGAAATATCCACTGCAGTTCAATGTTACCCGATGTGATGGCGATCAATTTGACAATTTTGGCAGTTTATTCACCGCGCATTGTGCCCGGTTAAACTTAAATACAATTTTTATGTAATTTATTTGTAAATACCGATTATTTATTTTAATTTATGTTCTATGTGTAGTTAGATTATTTTCTGTATAAAAGCTATATTTGTTGAGCTTCATGTTTGTGTTTAGGTTCTTGAATTGATGTCATTATTTCAATTTTATTTGTTCTTAAACACTAAATATGGTTCTATTTCTTTCCAAAACTACTACATAAATGTTTAAAAAAGAGCAACAAATTCCAATTCGTTTGATTCTGGGCGGCACTTTAAGTTTACCTGGGGACCCCAGGCTATTATATTTATGTTCATAATCATGGAATAGAGATTTGGCGGAATTACAGGCTGAGCTCCGCCCAGTAACATCTACTGAATAGTGGTATTCATAATATTTTCTGAAACTTCTCTCGTGGCCGAAGTTTGATTGAAAACTGAATTTGAGTCGTTTTTTGTGCTAATTTTGGACCCCAATGATTGTATCGCGATTCAGGATATAGTCAGGTGATTACTTCCTCAGCTACCAATTGGTGGTATTCATCTTGATGTGAGACTTTCAATTTATTTGGAAACAATATATCGAAAGTATACATACTATTTTCTGAAACTTCTCTCGTAGCCGAGGTTTGATAGAAAACTGAATTTGAGTAGTTCTTTGTGCTAATTTTGGACCCCAATGATTGTATCGCCATTCAGGATATAGTCAGGTGATTACTTCCTCAGCTACCAATTGGTGGTATTCATTTTTGACGTGAAACTTCCAATTTATTTGGAAACAATATATCAAAAGTATACATACTATTTTGAAACTTCTCTCGTGACCGTATCGAGTCCGTATTGAGGTCATTTAAGCATTTAGAGGTATAGATACCATATTTTGTCCAAATTCTCCTTTTTAATGTCCTATAACTACTCCAACTGCACCCTCTTCGGGATACAAAACAAAGCTGAAAGATACGTCTACGGAGGATGGTTCGTCTTCGCCATCACATGCTCGCTTCTCGGCGACACCACCATACTAGTTGCCTCCATCAGATACAAAGCCTTTAAACTCCAGAAGATAGTGGTGGCTTTCATCCAACATATCGCAGTGTGTGACTTGTTCATAACCATAAGCACCACCATCCCCCAGCTGGTCTCCTTGATTAAAGATAGAAAAAGCAACAACAGGTTCCTAGCTATTATAAGATTCTTCATCCCATTTTATTTATACAGTGTGGGTATAAATCTTGTAAGCGCGATGACACTTGGGAAGCTTCTCTCCCTAAAATATCCTTTTAGAGCAGGCACTTGGACCACTGCCACAATTCACAAGTTCTGTGCTGGTATTTGGATCGCCGCCCTTTCTGTTCCGGTTCTATATACCCTTATAGACAAGAAGAAATAATGTTCGATTGCAGAGTGTATACTTACACGCTCACTTACACTTTTAGCATCTGGAAGATATTGAACCCCGTTTATTCCCTGATCGTACTGGTCACCCCAAATGTGATAATAGTCGCCTCAACAGTTCTGCTGCTGAAAGAGGCAAGAAGAGTGGTCACGGACACCCGAGAAAGTCTACGCTGGCAAGGCATCATGATGGTGGTTCTCACTGCAACAGTCACCACAATTTCCTTCTTGACACCAGCAGTCTACCTGATTGCTGAGCCGTTTATAGCTAAAGATCCTTCTGTTCCTGGACCATTCTACAAAAAGTTTTACCGGTTCTCTTCCGCTGTAATGTGCGTGAATGTTCTTGCTAACTTCTTCGTTTATAGCCTAACAGTGACCAGCTTCAGAAACTTCCTGAAGTCAAAGTTAAAGCAGGCCTTTTCTATCCAATCCAACAAAGTCACTAAAGGTAATTCTTTCAAATAATCTAGTTCTTTTGTCTGACAATCAGGTAATTATTTATTATTTATTAGAATAAGTAAAACTGATAAAAAAGTTATTTATCTAAACAATCAGACAACAACTCATCAGTAAAAAACAACCAGGCAGGACAGTATCCAGGGGTCTAGCAAAAGGAAGGGGAAGACAGATCAACAGAACCAACTTCCCTGCCATACCACGCCAAGAAATGGGTTTGGTAGTTTAAAATAAAATCACTTTCTCGGATAGCAAGTCAGAAGTTTTATAGAAGTCTAAAAATAAATTCGATCAATTGAATCGGTAAAAATAAAGAAACTGAAACCATTTCAGAGCGAATAAAGGAAGGAGGGAAGACAGAAGTGAAAACGCTAACAGGACCAACAAAGGAAATCGGTAAGTGAATATAGAATCGTCTTGCTAAATAACTAAACGTTTTTATTGTTCTATTGAATTAAAAGATCAAACGGAATTCCTATCACATTTATTTTTTAGATATTGTGAACGATGGACCATTGGAAGTTAAAACAACAGAACGAATAACCGTAACGATAGAAGGAGGGACAGAAAAAGGATGCATGAAAGAGAATGACCAGATCGACAATCAGCCCATAGAAATCGAGGAAACGGGCATTTGATCGCAGAGACCTACTTCAAAGATTGGACTATGAATGAAAAATATGGATGATTTCGCAAGATCATGTTGAAAATAATATGTCCTCATTGCTGCTATTTTTGGATAACCCGTTTCCCCAAAATACATCCTTAATCAAACATGGCTCTCAACAGACAACATTCATATTTGATACTGGAAATATCTGATTGAAGGAATTTTAGTTTTTATATTCTTCCTCCTACTCCGCAGATGATTTAACAATAAACTGAAAGGAAGCAATGTGTTGTGTTAGATGGTGTATCATCGTTTGCTGCCGCAATCCTCAGTGGAGTTCCACAAGGCACCGTTCTTGGGCCACTGTTATTCATTCTGTTCATAAATGATATGAAGCTATGTGTTAAAGGGTCTGTCATCAGATTCTTTGCTGATGACACTAGGATTCTTAAGCATATCTACAGTTTGGCCGACAAAGATGTCCTGCAGGATGATCTCAACTCTGTTGTTAATTGGGCTAAGTGCAACAACATGGCCCTTCATGAGGATAAGTTTGAGCTTCTTGTTCACAAGCATTGTCCAAAGAATTCCTTGTTTGATCATCCATTCGCCATCCAAGCTCAAACATATGAAGTGTCTAACGGAAACATGCTGTACCCCACTCAAACGGTGAAAGATCTAGGAGTGACAGTTTCCGCTGATTTGTCCTGGACCCCACACGTCAACAGGATAGCTGAACGCGCAGGAAAAGTTGCTTCTTGGGTGCTAAGTGCGTTCAAAACGAGAGACAAAGCCACCATGATGACTCTGTACAAGTCTCTCGTTAGAAGCCATCTGGAGTATTGCTGTCCTCTGTGGAATTGCTCTAAGAACAAGGACATCCAACAGCTAGAAGGGATTCAGCGTACGTTTACATCGAAAATAGATGGCACCCAGCACCTCGACTACTGGCAGAGATTAAAGGCCCTAGATCTGATGTCATTGCAAAGAAGAAGAGAACGGTATTTAATCATCAACATGTGGAAAGTTCTGCATTGCAAGTGCCCTAATGATATTGGTATCCAGTTCTCGGTGACTCTCAGACATGGTCAAAAAGCAGTTGTGCCCAGTATAGCTAAGTCCAGCAGTCAACGTAATCAAGCACTACACGACAACTCATTTGCAGTCACTGGACCTCGATTATGGAATGTAATCCCAACACATATGCACACCATCGAGGATCCTATGCAATTCAAAGTAGCTTTAACGAACTTTGTGAAGTCATTTCCGGACGAGCCTCCAGCTCCAGGATACAGCCGTCGGAATGGAAACTCCTTGCTTGATTGGAGTGGTGATAAAACAGTTTCTACACTGTCCGGGGGGTCGACTTTTTCGATGGCCCGATAGAGGATTCTATGAAACCCTACAAAGTAACAAAGTAAGTAAACAAAAAACATTGACTGAACTTTAAACTTTCGATTACTGAATTTTATATAACTTCTTCATTACATGACATGCTTAATTTACAATATTTATTTTCTGAAAATTGTTTTGAATAAGTTAGAATTTGAACTAAATTTAAATGATCTCCTTGTTGTAATCCATCCAAATAACAGCAACAAATCGCGCTAGGGCAAATTTTAAAATTCGTTATACCTTTGTATGGGACAGAATGCATCGCATAAGGAGAAATTTGGTTTTTTAATGGATGATGGCAAAAGTTTTAAAATATTCATGTAACATACAACTTTTCTGGGAAGATGTAATAGCTGGCAAATTTTGTAATAGGATATTTGCTTATTAAATTGTAAGCATTGCATAGTTAGTGTGCATGGTTTCTGAAGAATAAAGGTTTGATTGAAAACTGAATTTAAGTAGTTCTTTGTGCTCATTTTGGACCCCAATGATTGTATCGCCATTCAGGATATAGTCAGGTGATTACTTCCTCAGCTACCGATTGGTGGTATTCATCTTTGACGTGAGACTTCCAAATTATTTGGAAAGAATATATCAAAAGTACAGCATTTTCTGAAAATTTTCTCGTTGTCGTATCGTGACCGTATCAAGGTCATTTAGAGGTATAGAGGTCATATCTTGTCCAAATTCCCCTTTTTGATGTCCTATAACTACTCTAACTGCACCCTCTTCGGGATACAAAACAAAGCTGAAAGATACGTCTACGGAGGATGGTTCGTCTTCGCCATCATAGGCTCACTTCTCGGCGACACCACCATACTAGTTGCCTCCATCAGATACAAAGCCTTTAAACTCCAGAAGATAGTGGTGGCTTTCATCCAACATATCGCAGTGTGTGACTTGTTCATAACCATAAGCACCACCATCCCCCAGCTGGTCTCCTTGATTAAAGATAGAAAAAGCAACAACAAGCTCATACCTATTATAAGATTCTTCATCGTATTTTATGAATACAGTGTGAGTATAAATCTTGTCAGCGCGATGACCCTTGGGAAGCTTTTCTCCCTAAAATACCCTTTTAAAGCAGGCACTTGGACCACTGCCAGAATTCACAAGTTCTGTGCTGGTATTTGGATCGCCGCCCTTTCTGTTCCGGTTCTACATATCCTCATAGACAAAGAAGACATAGTGTTCGATTGCAGAGTGTATACTTATATGCACACGTACACTTCTAGCATTTGGAAGATATTGCTCCCCATCATTTCCCTGATCGTACTGGTCACCCCAAATGTGATAATAGTCGCCTCAACAGTTCTGCTGCTGAAAGAGGCAAGAAGAGTGGTCACGGACACCCGAGAAAGTCTACGCTGGCAAGGCATCATGACGGTGGTTCTCACTGCAACAGTCACCACAATTTCCTTCTTGACACCAGCAGTCTACCTGATTGCTGAGCCGTTTATAGCTAAAGATCCCTCTGTTCCTGGACCATTCTACAAAGAGTTTTACCGGTTCTCTGCCGCTGTAATGTGCGTGAATGTTCTTGCTAACTTCTTCGTTTATAGCCTAACGGTGACCAGCTTCAGAAACTTCCTGAAGTCGAAGTTAAAGCAGGCCTTTTCTATCCAATCAAACAAAGTCACTAAAGGTAATTCTTTAAAAGAATCTAGTTCTTTTGTCTGACAATCAGGTAATTATTTATTATTTATTAGAATAAGTAAAACTGATAAAAAAGTTATTTATCTAAACAATCAGACAACAACTTATCAGTAAAAAACAACCAGGCAGGACAGTATCCAAGGGTACAGCAAAAGGAAGGGGAAGACAGATCAACAGAACCAACTTCCCTGCCATACCACGCCAAGAAATAGGTTTGGTAGTTTAAAATAAAATCACTTTCTCGGATAGCAAGTCAGCAGTTTTATAAAAGTCTAAAAATAAATTCGATCAATTGAATCGGTAAAAATAAAAAAACTGAAATCGTTTCAGAGCGAATAAAGGAAGGAGGGAAGACAGAAGTGAAAACGCTAACAGGACCAACAAAGGAAATCGGTAAGCGAATATAGAATCGTCTTGCTAAATAAGTAATAACTAAACGTTTTTATTGTTCTATTGAATTAAAAGATCAAACGGAATTCCTATCACATTTATTTTTTAGATATTGTGATCGATGGACCATTGGAAGTAAAGACAACAGAACGAATAACCGTAACGATAGAAAGAGGGACAGAAAAAGGATACATGAAAGAGAATGACCAGATCGACAATCAGCCCATAGAAATCGAGGAAACGGGCATTTGATCGCAGAGACCTACTTCAAAGATTGGACTATGAATGAAAAATATGGATGATTTCGCAAGATCATGTTGAAAATAATATGTCCTCATTTTTGCTTTTTTTTGATACCCCGTTTCCCCAAAATATGTACATTCTTAAACATGGTTCTCAACAGAGAACATTCATATTTGATACTGGAAATATCTGATAGAAGGAATTTTAGTTTTTTAGTTTTTATATTCTTCCTCCTACTCTGCTGATAATTGAACAATAAACAAAAAAACATTGACTGAATTTTAAATTTTCGATTACTGAATTTATAACGACTTCATTACATGCTTAATTTACAATGTTTATTTTCTGAAAATTGTTTTGAATCAATTTTAATTTATGTTCTTTGTGTAGTTAGATTATTTCCTGTATAAAAGCTATATTTGTTGAGCTTCATGTTTGTGTTTAAGTGTTTAGCCTTAGGTTCTTGAATTGATGTCATTATTTCAATTTTATTTGTTCTTAAACACTAAATATGGTCCTATTTCTTTCCAAAGCTACTACATAAATGTTTAAAAAAGAGCAAAAACTATATTTTGTTTAATTCTAGGCGGCGATCAGCCTGTCATTCAGCGGCACCTTTAATCTGTTTAAGAACAGAACAAGCCTGAGGTCCCCAGTACTAGTAGGAACCGACCGGAATGCAGGAATGGGCTTTTGGCTGCAGGACCGGATTTTGACCGATATCAATCTATTATCCGGTTAGCCGGATTTTGCCGGACCGGAACCGGTTGTTAGGAAGGGAAGATATAAGGCTGCCGGAACTTGCCGGAATGTTCCGGATCTTGCCGGAAAATTTAAATTAATGCTTAATGGGCTTTTGTCATTATCAATTATGATATTAATCCTTTAAGCCATAGTTTGTAATTACACAATAAGTTCCGCATTTCTAAGAGCTATACGACCAGATCGATGATGTTTCCTGTTTAGGCCTATAGCAGTAGACATAGGTCATCATACATTTTACGGAGTTTTTATTTACTGCTATTGTTTTAATTTTATTTGGAATGATATACATAATTATACAATGTATATTGGGAATAAAAATATATAAGTTTTGTAAGAAACTACAAGGTTTAAATAAGTAGGATGATAATCACACCTTTGTTACAGTAATGACCAGCTGGACATTTCAGCTCATCAGTCAACTCTTCTATACCCGCCGTATCGCAGAAATATCTGTGGAATTTTTGAAATTTTCAATTTAGAGTTCAAAGATTGTGGAGAGATTTTAAGGGGAACGAAAACACCATAGCTGCGCAAAGATGTGCAGATTAACAAACCGAGAAAAGTAAAAAAGGGCCGAATAAATTCATAAGATCAGAGCCCTTGACATTACGGTAAGTTGGCTTTTTTATTATTTCTTAGTGATTATAGTTAATTTTAATTATTTATTTGTTAGTTATTTCTCCACTTACTTACCCTTCAGTGCAATCGATACACTCAGCAGCCTCAGCTTGGTTCTGATAGCTGCCTGGATCACACGGTATCTCCTTGCTGCTTTTATCTGGACATCGGTTACCTGGAAATATTTGAGTTACTTTTATAATGTTTTTGGACACGAAGGGAAATACACAACGTAAGGCTTAAAATCTTCGTAAAACTACATCATTAGAGCCTGTAAAAACTTTTAACTTTAGTTACTTTTATTATTAGTTGAAATGGTTTGTTTTTAACTTAATAACATCAATTTACTATATAATGACATGATAATGGCATTACGATTGTATATGGTTCAACATAAATTGACACAAGCTGGTTTTTCTTCATTAAAACTGAATTAACAACAAAGTTTCAAAAAATCCGAAACAAGTCCACACCAATTTTCAAAAGTAAAAAAGTAAGAAAGACTTAAACACAAATGAATTATATTTTATATTGAGTTTTTAAAAGTTATAATTAAATTTAATTTTATCACAATTATGTGATATATCATATATAACAAACCAGCAGTGCAGTGGTGATCTAAGAAGTCACTGGTACCCTCCGGACAGAAGTACCTGTATCAAACAAATTAGACAAATTATATAATTAATGCTTTAATGAATATAACATTAAATACTAACAGTCCAGGTATTATACCTTTTTTTAATCTAGAAACGATAATAGTGGTCATGTAATTGAAACATGCTTAATATTTCACAGCATAAATAGTTAATTAAATTATCCATTAGGTCTCACTTTTGGGTTTACAACCCACTAACGCGCGCGCCGAGTTTCTTCGCCGAGTTTTCTTCGCAACAGTCAGGTAATTATTTATTATTTATTAGAGAAAGTAAAACTGATAAAATGTTATTTATCTAAACAATCAGACAACAACTTATCAGTAAAAAACAACCAGGCAGAACAGTATCCAGGGGTACAGCAAAAGGAAGGGGAAGACAGATCAACAGAACCAACTTCCCTGCCATACCACGCCAAGAAATAGGTTTGGTAGTTTAAAATAAAATCACTTTCTCGGATAGCAAGTCAGCAGTGTTATAGAAGTCTAAAAATAAATTCGATCAATTGAATCGGTAAAAATAAAAAAACTGAAATCGTTTCAGAGCGAATAAAGGAAGGAGGGAATACAGAAGTGAAAACGCTAACAGGACCAACAAAGGAAATCGGTAAGTGAATATAGAATCGTCTTGCTAAATAACTAAACGTTTTTATTGTTCTCTTGAATTAAAAGATCAAACGGAATTCCTATCACATTTATTTTTTAGATATTGTGATCGATGGACCATTGGAAGTAAAGACAACAGAACGAATAACCGTAACGATAGAAGGAGGGACAGAAAAAGGATACATGAAAGAGACTGACCAGATCGACAATCAGCCCATAGAAATCGAGGAAACGGGCATTTGATCGCAGAGACCTACTTCAAAGATTGGACTATGAATGAAAAATATGGATGATTTCGCAAGATCATGTTGAAAATAATATGTCCTCATTTCTGCTATTTTTGGATAACCCGTTTCCCCAAAATATGTACATTCTTAAACATGGTTCTCAACAGAGAACATTCATATTTGATACTGGAAATATCTGATAGAAGGAATTTTAGTTTTTAGTTTTTATATTCTTCCTCCTAGACTCTGCTGATAATTGAACAATAAACAAAAAAACATTGACTGAATTTCAAATTTTCGATTACTGAATTTATAACGTCTTCATTACATGCTTAATTTACAATGTTTATTTTCTGAAATTGTTTTGAATCAATTTTAATTTATGTTCTTTGTGTATTTAGATTATTTCCTGTATAAAAGCTAGGAGAGTTAGAATTAACCCAAATATCAGGGACACGAATGACTACTCCAGGATTTAAGAAACTAAACTTTCAACACTGAAAACATTCAGATTCTTGCCAAATATATTTCGATTGTAGTCATCTCCAGTGACATTGAACCTAAAAAATGTTAAAAGGTTAGTGAAACTCAAACCGTTACAAAATTAAGAATCCGAAAAAGTTAAAAATATCATATTAAGGTTTATGGAATATAGGTAATCCAAAGGGATTGACAGTATTAAGGCCAAAAGGTCTAAGAGAATTAAGCAAATGTATGTAGTTATTTTCTTTTACTTCAAGTGTACTGGGACTGCAATTCTCTAAAATAAAAGTTCTAAAAGTTTCATTAAAATCTGTATGTACTCCTAAACCGTGGTCAATCAAGTGAACTCCTAGTAATATCAAATGCTCTACCATCAACGATTTCATAAAATTTGGACCTGTGTCCGTCCATCCTTTTATGCAAGCTATTAATAGTCCTACCCACATAGTTTTTCTTACAAATCGAACACTGTACAAGATAGATGATGTTATAGGTCTTGCAACAACCAGGGGCTGATTTGATCTTTTTGCCATTTGATGTGATGGAGTCCTTATTTATGATCATTTTACAACACTTGCAGTTTCTTCTGTGACAGGGTTCAGTTTTACCATGTTTAGCACCTAAGGCAAGCTGTTTAGATGTAACGAGGCGAGATCTAAGCGTAGATCCCGTTTTCTTCACAAACTGAAACAGTTTATTTTTTCCTTTCGGTGCTGTGGTGGAGTTTGTGGCTTGCTGACTCTCACTTTCACTAAAACTACGAGTTCGTCTCAAGTGACCTTCGTATTTCTGGACAACATTCACCAAGTCATTGTCACTTCCATAACTGGAGATGACTCTGATTGGTATGGCTGATAGCGGGGATTGTTCATTAGGCTCGACCGTACTCTTCCTGACTAACACTCTTTCCATGCCAAGGACTTTGTTAGCTATGTTGTCAGCCATTTTACTAGGGTGTCCTGATTCATGAAACGCCCGTTTGAGAATGTTAAGCTGGGTCTCTAATCTCTCCTTTGAATTGATTATCCTCCTGAGGCGTAAACACTGGGAGTATACAATTCCTGAGAATATGTGATTGGGGTGACTACTGCTGAAATGTAGGTAGGACCTGGAGTCTGTTTCTTTTACGTATAGATCAGTTTGAAGCTCTCCTTGATGGTCGAAAGTAAACTGTACATCTAGAAAACTGACATATTCAGCTGTATTTTCTGCTTGAATTCATCTATTTCAAGGCCATCGGGAGCGATGTTTTCGTTGACCTTCTTTATCCATGCTGAAAACTGTCTGGTAGTACCTGTAAACTGACCTGCTCCGTCGTCAATGTATCTTTTAACAGATGCTACTTGGTCCATTAGTGTGGGGTTTGAGTAGACTTCCTTGTTAAGGACATAAAACACAGCGATGTTTGCCAGTTGAACACATAGAGAACCTCCAGTAGGTACACCGTGTATTTGTTTGTACCAAGCATTCTCGAAAAAACCTATAGATGATTTTATGCTGTGGTTCACCAAGTCAATTAGCCAAGCTTTGAAGTTCATAGACCAGTCGGGTCTTAATTGGTCCATGGCAAATTTAAGAGCTTCAATGACAAGGGAGGGGCTGAGTGAGTCGTAAAGGCCCTTGAAGTCAAAAGTAAACGGTTTATATGTTTTCTTTTCAACTTGGGGCTTATTAGAGTTGATTTCGTCGAGCCAAATTAATGCATCTGTTGTGTCTGTAAGGAGGTCTTGGCAGAAGTCTTTTTCCAGGGGTCTTAAGTATTTCGTGGCTACAAACACATCACTCTTTTTACTGATACCTTCTTGAAGTGCTGTAATAAGTCTCACTGGCGGTTCAACTCCTGGGATAAGTTGGTCTTTCCTCAGTTTGTGCACTTTCAAGGAGGGGTAAAAGTAGCTCTTTCCCGGTTTATGGTGAGGAGCTGTACTTGGCCTGTTGGTCGGGCCTGTGCCTGCCTTATTTCTGTTGTCTGAAATACCCATCACAGACTTTGCT